GGTGAGGGGGGGGAAACGGGGTGAGGGGGTAGGAAAGGGCGGCAGGCGCCGGGGTGAGGGTTGCAGCCTGTAGGGCAGCGGGGAACAGACCGGGGGCGGGTAAAAACACACACACACATACACAGTTAGCAAGACGCACACACACAGGGGGCTGGGTTACTGCGCCGTGGGGATGTGTTTTTACCCCCCCCCTTAAAACACCCGGGGATGATATTTAGAACATCCACCATTTAGAAACCACCAGTCCTCCTTTTCAGTGCCTTGGATGCTTCTTCCCTCTGCTCCTCCCTCCCCCCGCTACCCCTCCCCCCACGGAAATCCCCCTCCTGAAACCCTCTCCTCCACAGTTCTCACTTTCTCTCCCTTCATCCCCCATTTTCAATGGGGTAAGCAATACCTCCCCAAAATCTCCAAATCGGTAACCCTCCCATTTCACCCACACACGCCCCCCCACACACACCCCTCCCTCCCCCTCCCTTCCACCCCCCTCTCCCCCCCCCTCCTCCCTCCACCCCTCCTCCACCCACGCACCCCACAGACCCACACCCACACACGGCCCACACACCGCCCACCCACACCGACACGCCCACCCACGCACCCTCCCCTCTCCCCCCTCGCCCCCACAGACCTAGGATAGAACTGGGAGATGTGTGTGTGTGGGAAGCGGTACTGTCTGAGCAGCTCCAAGGTACGCACGTGGTCCCCCGGGCTCTCCCCGGGGAAGGCGGTGATGATGTCCGTGGCCAGCTCCATACCGGGAACCCCGGCTAGCAGGGTGTCGACCACACGGCGGAACTCCGCCACCGTGTATTCCCGCTTCATCGAGTCGAGTACGGCATCACTGCCGCTCTGTACGGGCACGTGCAGGTACGAGAACACACACGGGTGGCGGAGCGCCGCGGAGAGGGCCTGTGGCGGTGGCAGCGGTGGCAGCGACGGGAAGCAGAATCAGTAGTAGTAGCAGCAGCAGTAGCAGGTGCAGTAGCAGCAGCAGTAGCAGGTGCAGTAGCAGGTGCAGCAGCAGGTGCAGCAGCAGGTGCAGTAGCAGGTGCAGTAGCAGGTGCAGTAGCAGGTGCAGTAGCAGTAGCAGCTGCAGTAGCAGCAGCAGGCGCAGTAGCAGGTGGAGCAGCAGGTGCAGCAGCAGGTGCAGTAGCAGGTGCAGTAGCAGCAGCAGTAGCAGGTGCAGCTGCAGTAGCAGTAGCAGCTGCAGTAGCAGCAGCAGGCGCAGTAGCAGGTGCAGTAGCAGGTGCAGTAGCAGGTGCAATAGCAGGTGCAGTAGCAGGTGCAGTAGCAGGTGCAGTAGCAGGTGCAGTAGCAGCAGCAGTAGCAGCAGCAGTAGCAGCAGCAGTAGCAGCAGCAGTAGCAGGTGCAGTAGCAGGTGCAGTAGCAGGTGCAGTAGCAGGTGCAGGTGCAGTAGCAGGTGCAGTAGCAGGTGCAGTAGTAGTAGCAGCAGCAGTAGCAGGTGCAGTAGCAGGTGCAGTAGCAGGTGCAGCAGCAGGTGCAGTAGCAGGTGCAGTAGCAGGTGCAGTAGCAGGTGCAGTAGCAGGTGCAGTAGCAGGTGCAGTAGCAGGTGCAGTAGCAGTAGCAGGTGCAGTAGCAGGTCAGTAGTAGTAGCAGCAGCAGTAGCAGGTGCAGTAGCAGCAGCCGTAGCAGGTGCAGTAGCAGCAGGTGCAGCAGCAGCAGTAGCAGGTGCAGTAGCAGCAGCAGTAGCAGTAGCAGCAGCAGGTGGTTAATTAGTTTCGATGGGAACGGCCCGTCCTCCTCCTCCTCCTCCACCTCCTCCTTCAACCTACCTAACCGTAAAGATTTTGGTCTGATTACACTCGCGGCCGTGTGGTGTTTACATACACCGTTATCGTACACGCTCTACGCATAGCTCCCAACTCCCAACGTATGTACATACAGATGTATGTATGTATGTATGCCGGGGCGCTCGCACCCCTCCACCCCGTTCCACACACCAATTCCCCCTTCTCACCTCCAAGTGTTCCAGCACGTACGGCGGATTAGTCATGCCTACCCGCAACATTGTACGGCCGTCCGGCGGCAGTACGGCAATGAGGGCGTCCAGCAGCTCCGGCAGTGAGCAGCCGATGTCGCGACTACCCAACCGCCCAACAGGGGGGGGAGGGGACGAAGAGGGGAAAAACCCGTCGCGGGGCGGGCAGGGCCCGGAATCATCATACGCAAATTAAAACACATGCAGAGCTTCAGACACACCTAGACAAATGATTATGTGGTCTGAGTGGAGAGCGGTAGGTGAGAGATATCCCCAGGCGCCTTCCCATCGCCCTCCATCGACACCTGCAGGGCGAGCTCCTCCCCTCTCCCTTCTCACTATACCCGTGTACGGCGGCCTCACCCGTACGCGCCGGTGTCTTCGGAGCTGATCCAGATCTCCCGTACCTGCCGGGGGAGGGTAGGGGTTTGGCCCAGAAACACCACGTAACACACACGTAACAAACACAAACACACACGCTCAGTTCGTAGTCGCTTGGAGTCCTCCAAATACACACACACAAAAAAAAACACATGCACATACAAATTATTGCTGCAGCTATCCCTAGTCCCATGTGCCATGGGTCGGCCACCTTAGCATTGACCCACGGGTCGACGACCCAGCGCACACGAATCGTGGGCCTCCCCCCGCACTGACCCATGGGTCGGCCGCCGCCTGCCGCACTCGTTCCACGAGCGCCGCGGGATCATAGCTGCCCAGATGGCCACGGGCGTGTTTCGTCTTGCAGTACGTGCAGGCGCCGAGACAGCCGGTAGAAATGGGCACGATCTCGATGTGCCGGTTGCGCCGGACCTGAGGAAACGACCCATGGGTCACAAAAGCCTCATTCTGAAAAACGTCCCTCATCACGTCCATCACCAGCTGATGGCGAAACTCCAAGGCACGCGCTGCCAGCTGCTGACTCAGCGCGGCATTCCGTCGTAGAGAAAACTGGCGAGGCAAAGGCCCCCCTACCCTCCCCCACCCGGACCCCCCCGGGGCCCACCCCCACCCCCACCCCCTCACCCCCGCCCCACCCCTTCCACCTTAGGGAGATCCAGTCTCGGAAGCTCTTTCTTGGCCAGCAGTCTGACGGTGTTGCCACGAAGGGTCTCCTCCACCGCCTCCACCACCCGGTCGATCTGGGTCACACCTGTGTGTGTGTGTGTGTGTGTGTATGAGAGAGCGGGGGGAGAGGTGGAGGGGAAGGTGGGGGAGGGGGGAGGTGCGGGGGAGCCGGAGCTCACTCGTCTTGCACTCACACGGCCCACCCGCGCCCCACCCGATGACGACGACTCACCCAGAACACTGACACCTTGGAGCTCCGGCAGCCGCTTGTCACCCTGTATGTGCATATGTGTGCGTGTGTGTGGAGGAGGGTGTTAGGCAGCGTCGGTTACGTCAAGCCGCATGATGGCGCGCAGTGCGTACATATGTATATATATGTACGCATGTGTGCGTGTGTGTTTAGTATGTATTATGTAAGCATGTGACGGGGGAGAAGGAAGACCGGGGGGACCCCCCCCTTGGTGGCCCCTACTGACCTGCGGCACACACCCCGCCACCAGCAGCCTCTTCCCGCCCGCCCTGCCGACCGCGATGAGGGACGACATGCCCGCCTGGCTGGGGCCCTTCACCGTGCAGGAGTTGATCAGCCAGAGGTCGGCCTGGTCGCGGGAGCCGTCGTCGACCAGCCTGAACGGCCGCGGGAAGGTGGGCAATGAGGGGCAATACGTACGGGGAGTTAAGATGCTGGAGAGGGTACATAATGCGGGTTGGGGGGGAAGGGAAATGACTATACTACAGACGAGTGATGCTGATGGGGGTGTTGGGGTGGGGGGGGGGAGTTAAGATGCTGGAGGGGAAGGTGGATGGGTGTGGCAAAGGGTCAGCGGCCGACTGACGTCCTCAGAGCACCCACTGCCGGGGCCAGGTTTCGTGGGGACGTGGTTTCGTGGGGAAATACATGTAAGGGCAGGGGGAGGGGAGGGAGGCCACAGCAAAGTCAAGAAGGGAAATCAGCAGCTGCCGACTGACGTCCACAGAGCGGGAGCTAGGGAGGGGCCTAGGGCGGGGCGAGGTGGGGCGGGGAATCAACTCTAGGGGCGGGGTGAGGGCAGGGCAGGGTGGCCTCCAAGTGGCAAAGGGAAATTGGGTGGGGTGGGGTGGCGCCTGTCAGAAGGGGCAGTAGGGTTGGGTGGTAGTAACACGCAGTAACCTGTCTACGGGCCTTGGAGAGCGTACGTAATGAGTGCATGTCGAACAACCGGGTTACAACCGGCTGATTCTCGCCTGTATCCGTAATCCTGAAGCTGCCCTGCCATGTACTCGCTGTCGCTGATGTTGTGGGAGCAGCCAAATGTCTTAACCCACACGGCCTGTGTGCCGGGGACATCCATGCCTCCGCCGTTGATGCTTTCCGGAAGGGCACATGGATCCTGGCTAGCGGATGCGGATGCCGTTACGCGGCGCCCCAGGAAGGAGGGCTTTGCGGGCCGTGAATTATCAGCGCCGTCGCCGTCAAAGTCCTCGATGTCGCCGACCTCATCGGCGCAAGCTATCGCCATTCCCGTTGTACCTATGGTTCAAGTATTTTCTTGATTGAGCATTACGCCTGTATACAACAAGCGGGATAGTCGTCGAAAGGCCCTGTCCTAAATTTACATTTGACGGACTTATGCAATTTTGCGAGGATCGCTCAATAGTAATACAATATTTCAAAGCAGCAGGCAGCAGTTGTTTCCGTATCCCGTTAGGCATGCCCAACCTTTGCTTCGGGAAACGAAGAGAATACGTGTACTGTATCGTCCAGTTCAAGCTTGGCCCAGACCGCCAGACGCTTTCAGGGTGCGGAGTGCAATCTCGCAAGCATCCTGGTCATACCTTAAGTGCTTTGCAGCCTTTCCAGGGCCCGTCCAGCTGGGATAGCTGGTGCCGACAGGGAACGACGCGCTGCCTCTGTCAAGTGGCAGCTTTTTCTTGGACTCGAAACCTAACAGCTTCCTGCCTTTACTTTAAAAGAAAGTACTAAACTGATCACGACCGGGAAAGCTCGTTTCCAGGAAGGTATAATCCTTCTACTCAACTAACAAAGCACATACCGGAGCTGTTTCTGGCACGCTGTGGCTCCATATCAAATGCGCAATACGCAAAACCTCAGCTGTCGCAACGCGGGGACGACCCCGGCCGCACGGCTGGCCCCGTGCTGGCGCGGGGTTGCGGCAAGTCGCCGCGGCTGCGTCGCCGTTTCCGCCACCTTCAAGAACAGCCGTACCGAAAAGCTGCGGAGGTTGCTGAAGGAAGACGCGATCTTGTTGGTAAGCAACCACAGCTGTTGCTGGCCCAAGTGCCCTTTTCACCACGGACTCTGCCCTTACACACGCGACACGCTTCTTCTCCTTCTTCTTTTTCTTCTTCTTCTGTGGCCTTGCAAGCTCCAATCCTCCACTCCAACCGTACCATTGCCCCTTTCCTCTTTCCTACCTACCCCCGGGCTATTTGGTTTGAACATAGGGCCCTTGCTGCCACGACGCGCTCTCCGCCAAGCTTATAGAGCAAGCCGGCTTTCCCTACGCCTTTATGAGCGGATTCTGCACGTCGGCCGCACGGCTCGGGGCGCCTGACACCGGCCTCATCTCCTACAGCGAAATGGTGGACACGGTACGGCGGAATGGATGGATTTTCAAACATACAGAAATAAAAAAAAATCATTTTCTTGTTTAGATATCTTTAAAGCAAATCATATACAAATAAAAAGGAAAACAAAATATCCGCGGACCTGATGAAGCTGAACAACATTTGGTACTTTGGGGTGAGGGTCGGCGCTTGGTGTCGTAGTAGTGGATATATTACTCAGCGAGAAGAGGCCCCCGGGTAGCTGTTGTTGTTGTTACAGGGTGGTACAGCTTCACCAGTGGCCTCCTTCCCGAGGTAGTTCCCTGTTTTACTCCAAATTGGAATAAATACCCCCACAACAGCAGCAGGGTGGTATGAGAGGGCCATCGGGGGAGGCCATAACGGACTGCCGTACACTGTACTGCACTGCATTGGAAACCTAGGACGGAAACATTTTGAACACACTGAACAGCAATACATAAAAATACAGCTCACCACGAAGCTCGAGATAGTGTATGAGATTCTGTATGGGGGGGTATGATTTTGCTGCCCGCCACTCCCGCGGGTGGTGGTAGTAGCCTGAAGGGCCCCCGAAAAGAATGGGTTATCATGCTTGCAAGGGAAAGGGCTATCCGAGGGCATTTGGGTTTTTAAACCCGCACGACCCTACACGGTCGTACGACACGACACGTGCCGTGATAAGTAGGTTGCGTCATTGCGTCTCTTTTCTTGTCTTGTCGTTATTTCATCACCAACGCCCCCCCGCCCCCCGAAATTCCCCACAAATCCAAAGGGTTCAAGCTGGTGACTGTGTGTACCGAGCAAAATTTGGTTTTAGAGTTGAGTTTCTAACCGCCAACCGCCAACTAACTGACTCCGACAGGGCCGTTACATTCACGAGTCCACTCGCAGCCTGCCGGTCATTGGCGATGGAGACACCGGATACGGCAACGCTATGAACGTCAAACGCACCGTACGGGGCTATGCGCAGGTAGATGCGGACCTGGGGGCCCCATTCAAATCCCTTTATCCCCCGCCGCCGCCCTGCCCAACACATTGCCTGATTAGGCATATCTCCCTCCGTTCCCGCATGCTTAACTGCCCCTGCTGCATGAAAGCGTCTCTGCTCCAAAACACACACGCACACACACACGCACGCACACACGCACACACACATGCACACTCGCACGCACACACACACACACACGCACACACACATACACGCACACACCTCCCGAACAAACCCACTTGACTCGGTTGGTACTGATAGGGGTCTGGGATCTGGTCTCTTCGCGCACCACACTGCACAGCACTACATATAGTAGTTGTGATGTTTCGTTATGGTCCGGTCCCCTCCGACATAAGCTCCCCCCCCCTCCTGGTTTGCAGGCTGGCTTCGCGGGCATCCTGATCGAGGACCAGGTGGCGCCCAAGAGCTGCGGTCATGTGCGGGGCAAGCGGGTGGTGGGGCGGGAGGAGGCGGTGGCCAGGATCCGGGCGGCAGTGGACGCCAGGTGCGTGTGTATGTATGTATGTATGTAGGTATGTATTTGTGAATGAGTGATGCAAGGGACGGGATGGGTTTGGAACTTTGGATGTGGATGGGAAAGAGGGGGGAATGTGCAACAGGTGTCGTCTAGCTGTCTCAGTAGTCGAGGCCGCAATCCGTTGTATGTGTATGTGTGTGATTTAATGAAATCCTGTGAGCCGTGAAGAGGGAGTGGCGTTTGTATGTTCCTTTGTACGTTTCATTGTGTGTGTGTGTGTGCATGTGTGTGTGTGTGTACATCACACGAGTGCGAACGCGCGTGTGTTACTGGTCGGTGCGGTGTAGACAATCAGAAGACCATCAGTGCATGCATACATATTATAGGCAGGCGGCTGGCAGAGGTTAAGGCCTGACTTCTGCTCCCGGAGTGTCCGGGTTCAAATTCGCCTGCCGACCTCTCGGGTGTGTGAGAGGTGTTGAAATGGGAGGTGGCCCCCATCTTATGGACGGTGTAGGACGTGATAATATCAACTTGCGAGCTGACCAGGAACTAGGTTGAGGCGCCGTTGATCCGCTAGATTTGGTTGGATGCTGGTGGTGAGTTGCTGAACCCAACGAATACATTCTGAAGTCGGATGGGGTGAATGGATTAGGGTGCCCCTCTCGCAGGGGAGAGCAGGGAAATGCCTCGGGAAAGGGGGCCGCTGGTGAAGCTTAACCACCCTGTAACGACATACATACATACATACATACATACATACGGACGTACGTAGAAGGGCGGGCGTCCGCCTCTTCACTTGGCGGCCCTCAATAGTCGATTTCCGTTCCTGCTGCAGGGAGGAGGGTGCGGACATCCTCATCGTGGCACGGACGGACGCGCGACAGGCGGTGTCGCTGGAGGAGGCGTTGTGGAGGGCGCAGGTACGGAGGGGGAAGGGAGGGAAGGGGGAGGGATGGATGCAAGGTGGGCAGGGAGGGAGGGAGGGAGAAGGTGGCACACACCGGGCTCCGGGAACTACCTGCTTTTCCCTCCTTCATGGAAATCCCCAACACCACCACATACATACATACATACATACATACATACATACATACATACATACATACACACACGCCAATGTGGGGATGGCCCCGTTCTTCCCTCGTCCCCCTCTCCCTCCGACAGGCATTTGCCGAGGCGGGTGCTGACGTGTTGTTTATCGATGCTCTGGAGAGCGAGGAGGAGATGCAGGCCTTCACTGCGCTCGGAGGCCCGGCGGCCGGGCTCCCCAAGGTGGTGGGGGGTAGAGCAGGGGGAGGGCAGAGGGGGAAGAAGGGGGGGGCCGGGGGGGCCGGGAAGGGGGTTTTCGTTTTTTAAGTACACAGAGACATACATACATACACATACACATATTAGCGCCGCCGCCTTGGCAGCCCTAATCGTTCCCCTCATTCTGCAGGCGCCGGCATTTGTGTTTTTTCAAACATTAGCATTCTTATATATAACCGGCAAATATATACATACATACATACATACTTATACACATGTAAAAATATAGTATGTATGTATGTTATCACTACATCTCCCCCTTGCTCTCCCCTTCCTTCCCCAGGTCAGCAAAACCGACTCGTTCTGCGTTTCACATCTTCTCAATTCTTCACCTCCCCTCCCCTCCCTTCCCCCCGATCTGTTCCCCTCCTTCCTACCCTTTCCGTGCCCCCCCGTGCCACCCCAGATGGCCAACATGCTGGAGGGCGGCGGCAAGACCCCGGTGCTTCCCCCCTCGGCCCTTCAGGCCATGGGCTTCAAGCTGGTGGCCTACCCCCTGTCGCTGCTGGGGGTGTCCATTCAAGCCATGCAGGATGCGCTGGCGGGGTTGCGGAGGGGCCGGATACCGCCCGTCGAGGCGATGGGCACGTTTGCAGACATCCAGGAGGTGGTTGGGTTTCCGGTAAGAGGAGGCATTGACAGAGGCGGCGTCGGAGGAGGACGGGGAGGTGTGGGTTGGGGAAGCCCGTGTACATACACACACACGCCAGGGTACACGAGCGTCTGGACAGGCGTGGCGCGGCGCGCTTTAATGTTGATTTAATACTTTCCCATTCTTGAGCTGCTTCTATACTAAGTGATCATTACTATTGTTTTGCATTACAGGCCACCGGGGATGTAGTATATGTAAATCGGGCTGTTGTGTGCTTGTGTGGACTTGTTTTGCTCGACAGGCGTATTTTGCTGAGGAGCAGCGCTACGCTATCAGCACGCCCACTTCCGTGGAGATGGAGTTGGCGGCACCTCAGGCGGCGGCCGAGGCGGAGGCTGCGAAGGAAGAGGAGGAGGGGGGGGAGGAGCCCCAGGCGGCACCTCAGGCGGCCGAGGAGCAGTCTCCTCCTGAAACGGCGCCGGTCGTTGAGGCCGAGGTCGTGGTTGAAGGTGGGGTGGTGGTGGTGGTGGTGCGACGTGCACGACAGGAGAGGCGCGGCACAGGGTTTCCAGGGGTTAGGGCAATAGGCCAGCTGGGTGGCGGTGGTTGGATTGCGTCCATGCTCATGTAGTGCTCAACCTCTTATCTCCCCTCCTCACCCTCTCCCTCGTCCTCACTCTTGTTGGTACCTGCTACTACCTGTCTTTGGTATCTGCTCCATTCGGCAGCGGTTCGTCTTCTTATCCTCCTCACCTCCTCTCTCTTCTCCCTTCAGGCACTGCCGACACGGCCGCCACGCCCGACGGTACAGCCACCGCCGAGTGGCCCCTCCCGCCCGAGCCGCAAGACTCCCCGTCCTCCTCAGCCTTCTCGAGCCTCTACCCCGCCACCACGCCGCAGCCGTCGGGCAGTAGCAGCAGCGGCGGCAGTAGCGGTGGTGCTGGTGCTGATGCTACGGACGATGCCAGCTACCGCCGGAACCGAAGTCTACGTGTCCGTATCTCCGACGTCAACACGGGGCTGGTCAAGTTAGAGACGCGCGTGCCGGCAGGCTTCCTAAACGGCCTCACTGCACTGGTACCGCAGGTGGCGGGGTTCAACATTGAGGTGAGGCGTTATGGCGTTATATGCTGCTGCTGCGGCGGCGGCGGCGGCGGCGTTGCCTCCACGTGGTAATATTAGTGGTGGTGTGGTGGACGGTTGTTGCATAATAAAGAGGACATGTCACCTACCTTGTTTTATTGTTGTTGTTGTTGTTGTTGTTGTTGCGATGGTGGTTGTGGCTGTGTTGGTGGTGGCGGAGAGGGTGCCTGGGATGGGAAAGAAGTGGTGGGGCAGGTCTCGTCGCCATCACATCGTATGGTATGACGATGGAGAGGAGTCGTCCGTCCCGTACATCCGTCCCTCTATACGTCAACTGTTCCTCTGCGTACTCCCCCGTATCCGTTCGGGCTCAAGTCGTACTCGTACCGTACCCCCACGTAGGCGCTAATGGAGCAGGCTTTGGGCCCTGGAGCCTCGCGGCCACAACCGGGGCAACCGCTCGTTAGCATCCCAACCGGCAACGACATCGTACAGATCTTTCTGGAATGACCAGCTGTGGAGGAGCGGTCGGGTAGTGCAGCAGCAGCCCTTCAAGATGTGGTGCAGCAGCAGCGACGCGGAGTGCGCGCGTGTGGAAACAGTGCAGAAGGGCCTAGGATCGGGACAGTTAGTGGCATGCTCGAGGAAGCGGCGGGAGGCGCGGTTACTTGGTTCCGTTGGCCCTGCAGGGCCGGACACATAACCGTACCGCGAAATTACCGCTGGATTGGTGAGAAGTTTGATTGGATCGCGGAACTACACAAATCATGTATCCAGCAGATGTGATTGAATCTACGTTTCCTTCGTCTTATTAAATCTTGCTGTAAAGACTCTTCGGCTGCTGGCCCACCTACATGACATGGCCCGCCATCGACGCCATCACCAAGATGTCGGGTTCGCCTTTACAGGGCCTGCCGGAGTCCGGTAGTTCACACAGTCAAACATTGACTTGTCTTGATGAAGAGCAGCGGAAAGGCAATCAGGCATGTGGGTCGTGTTCGTTGACAGTTGTGAGCAGCAGGCGGGAAGAGTCTGCGAACATGTTATATGCTGCAGACGAAAATGAGATTTCTTTGGGAGCTGTTGAGGGAGAGAAACAAAATGAAAAGCTTCGCACGCGTCTAAATTTCCTCTCCGCAATCAAAAGCCTCATTGCCACGAAACGGAAGATCCACCCTGTTTACTTATATGAGGTGCTGCTTCTGATGACTTTCATCAGGGCAGCATGCACCAACGGCCCAACTAGGCAAGGCCGGGAGAAAAAAAGAGGCGCATCGATTGGCTTCGATTGGCGAATTGATTTCTGACCACGAGTCCCGGCTTAACATGAAAGAATGCAGTCTTAAACATGTGTTACCATTCCCATTTTAGAAACGCAGCCCTTCCCAACAACGTCCTGATAGGATTAACTGCGTACCGCAAACCCAGTAGTTCTCTGATTTGCACGCATAGGAGTGCCATGGTCGTTTGCGGAACATGCGGGAACTCACTTGCACACACGTGTGGCACGTTGAAGCCCGGTTTAGAACAGAGAATTCCTCTCCTGTACCTAATTTTTAGCTCCGAGGAAGCTAACACACGTTTTGCCATCCAGCAGCCTTGTGTCGTGTGATTCTTAAGTGTCTTTGTCTTTGTAGATGTTCGCACACCGGTACCGCCTGCAACGGGACTGCAGTTTCCGGTCAATGCTTCTGTGTCCATAACCATTAGGCTGCAGCGAAGATGGGCATAGCGTATCAGATGTGACCGGTTGCGTACCTTCCGGAAAAGTTTGCGGTTTGAAACTTGAAACGGATAGATGGTACGCTTTTGTTGCCAGCTCAAATTTGGTAGATCTGGGTTGATATGGATAAAACACTTGCAAAAATCCTGATGCTTACTAGTGGTTAGCAGGGAGCCTGGCTCTGGCCTGTCTATGGCCCATAGACACATCCAGGCAAGGAATTTTAGAGCGCCAGGACAAGTATTTGAACAATATTCATATATCAGCTGCGTATACATCCGACAGGTGAATTGCGGTTCACAGTTATAGAAATCGGGCCTGCTCTCAATGGAATGCTGACAAATATTGTACGGTGACTGATGCCGTGCCGGCCAAAGGCCAGCAGAGCATGCATGCAGATGACAACGTATCCCTTGGCCTTTTCAAGCAATCCCGATTCCTTTGATAAGACATCTTTTGAACTAACTCGCTGCTTGTAGGGTGCTAGGGATTGCCTGTACACTTTGCCCCAACTGCATATCCACTTGCCTAAGCAGCATTTATGCAAAGCGAAAATTAATTAACGACAACTCTTTAACGCACTCTTTCCTTCAGACCGAAAGATATTGTGACGTATGATACCTGGGACGGACACAAACAGCAAGGGCCTTGCTTGAAGGCCTGCTTCCGATTTGTGCTAAATAATGGCCATTTAGAAGCGCATAACTTGGTTCTGCGCATGCCGCTGGTTCCGGTCCGGTTCACGACGGAAGCTCCATGGAGCGGACGCTGTCTTACGACCATGCTTTATTCGATGGAGGCGGACTTATACCACCTCCTGGGCGTCTGCGCAAAGTGCTGGTCGTGGGAGCTGGGGTCGCGGGTCTTCAGACAGCTCGACAACTGACCAAATTGGGTGCTCAGGTGCTCGTCCTGGAGTCGAACGCAGAAGTTGGTGGCGTGTGGATACGCAATTATATTGGCTTTGGTTTACAAGGCAAGTACAAATCACCCAATTGGGTACCAAAATTCGTGTCGGTTTCCGTAATTGTTTCATAAGGCACGTTTTACCACGGATTTCTCACCGCAAGTGCAGTCATTCAAATAGGTAGAACATAATTGGCCGCACAACGCGCGCCGCAGGGCACCAGACCATTGCCCAGTGCCACATTTCCATCCATATCAGTAGTGCCCACGCTACGTCAAGGCCAAAAGTCGCGGCGCCACCTCGCCAACACCGCTCCCCTTTTTGTCCCATAGCACCCCTGCTGCCTTGGGTCCTCGAAATCTCATGCTTTCTTCCCGTCCCGGGCCCAGTCCCATCACACAGCACCGAAACACCTAGCACCACGGTTTCCGCCACCCTTGCAGCACGGTTTCCTCCACCCTTTACATATTGACTGGATCAAACTGCGAACCAGGAAGCGCCACTCCACCTCCTACCCCATCTTCCACACACCCCCGCGCATCTTCTTGCAGCTGACCCAAAACTGAGCGCACCAACACCCGCCATCTGTCTTAACAACTCCGCGTCTCGTTCCGTCCCGTTTGATTTGGGTTAGCTGTGTTTCGCTCCCCGGGGATCCCCCCCTTAGATCCGGTTTGGAAGCAGGGCGCATTTTCACTCCTAACCCTCCCCTGCACACACACACACGCGCGCGCGCGTGCGTGCGGGTGAGGCCGCCCCCCGGCTGATCTTCAAGCACTTTTCAGCGACTTTGCTGTACCCCTCCTTCCCCTTCCCCCAGTGCAGGCGTTGTATGGTGTATTGTCCCTAAAACCCATTTCCCCTCCCTACCTCCCTACCTCCCTGGCTTTGTCCCTTCCTGCCTCCGCCGTGGCTAGTTTATTAGACACGTTGCTAGTGGTATGATGCCATCCTCCCCTCCGCCTTCCTGCCAGTAGTTCGTCTTACCCCCCCCTCTCTCCTCTTCTGTCCCCTTCCCCTCCCCTTTTCCCTCCCCCTTACCCTTGTTCGTGGTTCGTCTTTCCCCCTTCCCCTCAACCCCCCCTCGTAGTGCCTTGGCGCATGTACCAGTTCCCGGAGTTCCCCTGGCCCAAGCACCTGCAGCCCTCCAGCGAATATCCCACAGGGCAGGAGGTACAGGAGTACGTACGGGCGTACTGCCAGGAGTACGACCTGCGGCGGTACATTCGCTTCAACTGCAAGCTGCTGCGGCTCCGCTGGTGCGCCGCAAGTCGCCAGTGGGATGCGCTGTACTGCGACACCTGCCAGGAGAAGTTCTTCAAGGTAGGTGTGTACGACATGCAAACCCAAGTAGCACGGTTACGTGTATGCTCTTCCGTACACCGTTGCGGTGCTTATGACTACTGGGAGGGGGCTCGCGGGTGTGGAGGGGGGGGGAGGGTTCCTATATCAGCAGGCACAGCCAACCGGGCATAACGCTGATCAGGCAGGCCAGGCCCGTGCCATGTTGCTGATGGCTATCTCGTCCATCCGGGGGCCCGAGGGGCACCCGGCGGGGACCTCCCGCCGCCTCACAGCGGACACGTCCTCACAGCGGACACGTCCTCACAGCGGACACGTCATCACAGCGGACACGTCCTCACAGCGGACACGTCCTCACAGCGGACACGTCCTCACAGCGGACACGTCCTCACAGCGGACACGTCCTCACAGCGGACACGTCCTCACAGCGGACACGTCCTCACAGCGGACACGTCCTCACAGCGGACACGTCCTCACAGCGGACACGTCCTCACAGCGGACACGTCCTCACAGCGGACACGTCCTCACAGCGGACACGTCCTCACAGCGGACACGTCCTCACAGCGGACACGTCCTCACAGCGGACACGTCCTCACAGCGGACACGTCCTCACAGCGGACACGTCCTCACAGCGGACACGTCCTCACAGCGGACACGTCCTCACAGCGGACACGTCCTCACAGCGGACACGTCCTCACAGCGGACACGTCCTCACAGCGGACACGTCCTCACAGCGGACACGTCCTCACAGCGGACACGTCCTCACAGCGGACACGTCCTCACAGCGGACACGTCCTCACAGCGGACACGTCCTCACAGCGGACACGTCCTCACAGCGGACACGTCCTCACAGCGGACACGTCCTCACAGCGGACACGTCCTCACAGCGGACAGCTCACGACGCTGCGAGGGGGCTGAGGGGGCTGAGGGGGCTGAGGGGGAAACAGGCGGCGACCTTTCGGGTGGGGTGTGACGTGGGGCGCTCTGGATGGCCTCTCCAACACGTCCTCTGGATCGGCAACCCTGCGTGCAACCATCATCAGTGGCAGCAGTAGCAGCAGTTGTAGTAGGAATAACTTTAGCAGCAGCAGCAGTTGTAGGAGCAGCAATACCGGCAGCAGTAGTAGCAGCAGTTGTAGTAGGAATAACTTTAGCAGCAGCAGCAGTTGTAGGAGCAGCAATACCGGCAGCAGTAGTAGCAGCAGTAGTAGGAGTGGCTTTAGCAGCAGCAGCAGCAGCACTCGCCTTTGTACGATTCAGCTAGGTGGTGGTGCGACGGGCATTTGTAAAGATATCACCGAACCGTGCTTTACCTCGTCGAGGCGGGTGTAGAGCTGCTCCCTGACGTCAAACGTGTTGACGTATCGACGCGACGTGTTCTTATCATCACCAATATCATTCCGTACAAACGAAAAGGCTACGCTTGTTGAATGTTATGGTTTTTTTACTGTCGTACTGTACGACGTTATCAACGCAGGTGACAGTGGATTACGCAGTCATCTGCGCGGGTATATACAGCCAGCCGTACATACCCGACTATGAGGTACGGCACGTATTTGCGTGTATATATGTGTGTGTGGGGGGGTGCCCGGTACGGCCGGGAGAGCGCGACCGTGGTAGTTGGGCGGTTAGGCGGTTGGGAGGTTGGTGAGTTTTCGGTTAGCGGCGTGATAAGGGGGTTCAGGTACGCACACACACATACACATACACATACACAGATATACACACAGACATTGAGGTTGAGATCAATGCATTGGGGACGTGTTGGGAGCCATGTAGGCAATGATTCATTGGTGTGGAGCTGAGGTGAGCTGATGTAGAGCCGGGCTTGCGCCTCTCAATACCATGCAGGGGACGGACGGCTACGCGGGTATCCAGCTCCACGCCAAAGACTTTGTGGATCTGTCGCTGGCCCGTGGCCGCCGGGTCGTCATTGTGGGCGCGGGAAAAACGGCCCTGGACTGTGTTTCGTCAATAGTGGCGACCAACACGGCCACGTCGGTCACGCTGCTGTACAGGTATGTAGGTGCCGTACGCGAATGTGCGGTGAACTAGGGAAGGAGAGGGGGTGAAGGAAAATGTGTAAACCCGTGCTTTGGGAGCGTGCGGGGAGGGGTGAGAACACCGCGCCATATGGTATCAACGTCCTTGAAAAGGGCAAGCGGCATATAGAACATATTATTTGTCAAGCTTCCCTCCTGGCTCCACGTCACGACGCGATCCGATACGACACGCCGTACTGTACGGCATCACCTCGCATTCCGCAGGCAGGCGCACTGGCCCCTGCCTCGCCGCATGCTGTGGACCTCGATACGCCGGCTGCTGTTCAACCGGGCCATGACGGCCATGATGCCGCCGTACTATACGGCAAGCACCGCGGCAACGGCGGCGAGCAAAGCGGCGTTGCCGCTGCGCAAGCTGTTTTGGAGGGGCATGGAGGTGAGAGATAAGAGAGTGTGTGTGTATGTGTGTATGTATGTTGATACAGGGTGGTTAACTTCGCCAGCGGCCCCCTTTCCCGGGGCAGTCCCTGCTCTCCCCTGCTAGAGGGGCACCCTAATCCATTCACCCCATCCGACTTCAGAATGTATTCGTTGGGTTCGGCAACTCACTACCAGCATCCAACCAAATCTAGCGGATCAACGGCGCGTCAACTTAGTTCCTGGTCAGCTCGCAAGTTGATATTATCACGTCCTACATCGTCCATATGATGGGGAGCCACCTCCCATTTCATCACTCCTCAAACACCCGAGGAGCCGGCAGGCGGATTTGAACCCGGGTCGGCCGGTGTGTATGTATGTGTGTGACGGGCATGGGGGGGGAAAGGTGCGGTGATGGCGTTTTTTCTGACACCTTCATAACCCCAAAGGCATCAACCTACCACCGCCACCCCACCGCCATCACACGTTCGTCCTGGGCGACCACCCCGACTACCAGGGTAGCTCATCTCCCCCTCCTCTCTCCTCCACCTCTTCTCCTTTCCCCCCCTGTTTCCCCCCCCCCACCACCACCCCGCCCCAGTCCGCCATCACTCGCAAGTTTCGCATCACGGAGCAAATGCGACCCCGGGTGCACCTGCCGGCTGACCTGTTTTACGGAGGCCAAATCCTGGACAACACGATGGACAAGCTGGTACGGAGTGAGGCGCTGCTGACCATCAAGGGTACGTCGGGTACGGCAGTACGGTAGTACGATAGCACGGAACACCAAACAGATTATGCGGCAGATCATCCGGCGCGATGTGTGTGTGTATGTCTGTATTTGGACGTGGGGGAAAAGTCCGAACGAAATATTGATTAGGTCTGGTAACTTGCCGCGAAGGCGTGACACGGTACGGCGGACAGAGACGTATGTACGACGGCGTTCATGTTGTATGTACCGCATTTACCGCATTTGCCTGTTACGATGCAAAACCGAAAAACCGCAAAACCTGACAACGGAACACCGAACCTCAAATCAAAGTGCAAAGAACTTTCGTTCCTGCCTCTTGGGCCGTGCCTTCTTTCAGGGGAGATTAATCGCTTTGTCCGCAACGGCGTTATTTTGCAGGTGTGTGTGTGGGGGGTGTG